CGTCAAAGCTAACAAGCTTGTGGGGTCGTGTACTAATAAGATACATAAAATAACTACAATTTCGCCAGGATATTAAAATTCGCTGTTAGAATGTTCACTTTCATCACTCTTAGGAAAACAAAATTTTGCATTCACGTCATTGACTACCGATTTTGCCGAACGCGTAGGGCCGTAGGGCCGTACGAGTTTTTCCAGCCCTATCACTTCGACGCGTACGGCCCTCATACGGAACCTTTATTCTTAGGTTTTCCAAGGAAATGGCGCGCGGGGCCGTACGGGTCATATGACAAATCCGGCACATATTTTGAGTAAAAGAAAATCGCCAAGGGAAAAATACGGCACCGAAACTGTGGGATGCTTTAGACGAGAGAAAAATATCCATTAAAAGCATTCTTTTTTTAAAGAAAAATCTTTTAATTTGTTTACTGCCACTGAGGTAACAGCTACATTGAATTAGTACATTCTATACACGTTAACTCTTACATTACACACTAAGGCTGCGGGATAAAATATAAAATAAATTACTTGGGATGAGCCACGTTTGACAAAAATAAAAACAACTCATTAGATTTTCTTGGTTATAAAACCTTATATAAGCTTTTCCTTCGCCGTGTAGTTACCTTAGTTTTCTAAAAAATATATATATTTAAATACATTATCAATATTTATCAAAATTCCGTTATCAATAAATTATCGTCTAATTTCGTCGTATGTATAAAAGTCTCGTCAAAAATGTTAATGAATGTAAAAATATACTATGCTTCCAACGCTAAAGTGACCTCGTGAGCAAAATCGAAATGACACCACAGTGCAACCGAAATAGAACGAAGAAACCTCGCGTCCAAAAAGTTATACTGAGTATGCTTAAAGGAGTCACGGTACTTTGAGCTATTTTGACCACGTACAAAATTGCCTTTAAATTGAAGGAAACGTGAAAATAGTAGCTTACTAAGGGTGCGTTTCTTTACGAAAATCCAAGATTGGATTCTTAAATCCGAAAACGAATTTTGCGTTTCTTTACTAAACAGATCAATCCAAGATCACTGAAGAATCCACTCTGGGAGTGGATTCTTCGGTTCCTTTGACGCACCATGATCCAAGAGATCTTGGATTAATCTGTTTAGAAATGAAACGCACAATCTGTTTTCGGATTTAAGAATCCAATCTTCGGTTTTCTTAAAGAAACGCACCCTAAGATAGAGAAACACTGAAAAGACAAAAATAAACCATAAAGGAACAAGGATGGTTTAGGATGGAGAAGATGAACACTGATTACAATCAACGAACTTGAAAAATCTAGGCTAACTTTTCGAGATGCGCTAACCGCGACGTAGCTCCTTTAAATCCAAGTCACTATATGTGAAAGTCTGACCGAAGGAGAGTTTCCACCCCTATCTGAGCTTTCTACTAAATTTATCCTCTTGAAACAAGTGGTAACTGGTCGTAACTTGACCTAAAGTGCACAACAAAGACGTCGCCTTTCACTTCTGGAGTAAGAGGGGCAGTATGTATTCCTAAAGTAGATTCCAATGACTAGCGTCATCACAGCGACATCTCTGACGTCTTGCTTGTAGCCTACGTAGCTGGTGGGATTTCGCGCTCGAGTGCTTTGTTTCAGCGGCGGAGCCTCTTACGAAATTGGCGAAGCCGCGGGGAAACTGGTGAATGGTCAAGTAGTTAGAGGTAACTCCTTCACGGTCTCGTCGCTGACGCTGAAACAAAGCTCTTGCACGCGAGATTCTACCAGCTCCGTAGGCTATTTTGGTTGCTTACTTTTCCGTCCAAAATGGAAATTAATTAGTAACAAGTATTAACTTGAAATGGCAACTAGCTATAAGTTACTTGAATGTTGGTTTTAAGTTAGAGCTGCGCATTTGTTTGTCTCTATACTGAGGATTATTAAGAGCGATCCTGATCTTCTTTATGTTGTCTGCTACTCGAAACTCGCGAGACCAGCACTCGAACACTTGGCAACTCATTTGACTCGCCTTTAGTGTCATCACCCAGCGGCAATCCCTGGTAAGTCCCGTGATCGACTTCGTCGTCGCTTGGGTGGCTGACTTGCCGCCGATGCTTTTTACGGCGTGACCGACTGCTTGCCGATCTTTTTGTAGGCATTCGCGCCTCGTTCGTGTTCAGATGTTCCGGAGAGTGATGCTGATCTTGAAGTGAGCGCATAGAAGGCAGCGATGGGACGGAGTTCTGCTGCAAAACTCGAATCAACAGAGCTTTCATTTCCGCCACTTCATTTCTCATGTCTTTAACAGTCTCCTCATGTCGGTTGGATACTACTGCGAGGTCAGAACGTAATCTGGAAGAAAGCAAGAATAGGATTGAACTGTCCATCAAATGAAGAATAAGATGATAGTCTATACAAATCTATACCAATAGAGCTAACTAGAAAATGTCTTGAAAGGATGAAAAAACAGGTAACCAGAAGGGTTAGCTACTCAGGCTCCACTTTGCAAGGAGCTAATCCTTAGAGGTTTCAAAGGCACAGTACAAAAGTGTGCTCTTCGCCAGTTACTGGATACAGCATTACTAATGGGCTAACTCGAAGGCGATTTTCAAGCGGTGGAAGTGAAGAAGGAGGAAAGAGTAAAGCAATTTCATTTTCTTATTGGCATCGCATATTTTACTTCAGTTATACCAAACTTTTTCACTATTTGATTTCGAATAACATACGTTAACCCATAAGGAGAAAAACTAGGCTGCCAACAAGTGTAATTTATAACTTGGATTTGCTGATGCGCTTTTTAAATTTACCTTTCAATTTCTCGCCCCAGGTTCCTGTCCGCCTTGCTCGTTCCATTACTCTTTGCTTGCAGCATTTCATAAACCTCATCAACAACGTCTTTGATCTGATGTGTCATGCGCTCTAGAGTACCTGAGCCTGGCTGCGTGGAGTCATCATCGTAGTACATTTCCTGTTAAATTAAAAATCCAAGACTAAGATTATTGTTATACTTCCTAAGGAATTTCTGGCTCCGGACTTTAATACCGGTTACCGAAAACGCGCGGGCTCTGGGGATGACTTTAAACTGATAAGGAATAAAGTGTAATGAGTGAAGGATGTCACGATTGCGTGAGACAAAGATTTTGTGATACTTTACCTCTGGGGCCAGTCTTTGATGAATAAATCTTCTGTGCATCTCACGACTCTTATCCCCCATGTTTTCTTCCATGTTGAGAATGGTGCTTGCACGCTGCATAGCCGCGTTGGCTTTGGCGTTATCATAGACACGCTGAAACGTGTCAGACATGAGAGCAATGAACAGATTTAACATCACAATAGCAGACACTGCTAGATAAGTTCCGCACAGGATTTGTGCCATCAGTCGATCCACTACGAGCAGGGAATCCCAGGGGTAGTTCCCCACGACTGTCAACTGCCACACGGAGTACATGAGGTCGTTAAAGTCCGCCCATCCTTTGCTGTCTTGCCCTGCTTTTTCCATGATCTCGGCGTTCTTTTTACCTCCGAATATGATCCAGAAAGCACACACGTATGGAACGTAAATTTCAAAATAAAGGAATCCAAACTTGAGGGTATCATCTATGATATGTCCGATCATGACAATGAATGGTCCTAAAGTCACAAAACCGCGGAAAACTTTCATCAGTCGAAGCCAGATGAAGATCAAGGCGATCGCGAACACTTTGGGGTGAAGTGAACGCGCCGAGTCATTTTTGAGGACAACTGCAAAAATCCTGGTCACAATGATACCCAGAATCCAGGCATACGTCACCCAGTCAAAATAATTCCATGAATCGTTGAAGTAAGAGATTCCGGAATCAATGATTTCGTTTCGTTCCATTTCGAGGTATTTTCTCTCCTCTGGCCAGCGCGGGTGNCGTACGGGTCATATGACAAATCCGGCACATATTTTGAGTAAAAGAAAATCGCCAAGGGAAAAATACGGCACCGAAACTGTGGGATGCTTTAGACGAGAGAAAAATATCCATTAAAAGCATTCTTTTTTTAAAGAAAAATCTTTTAATTTGTTTACTGCCACTGAGGTAACAGCTACATTGAATTAGTACATTCTATACACGTTAACTCTTACATTACACACTAAGGCTGCGGGATAAAATATAAAATAAATTACTTGGGATGAGCCACGTTTGACAAAAATAAAAACAACTCATTAGATTTTCTTGGTTATAAAACCTTATATAAGCTTTTCCTTCGCCGTGTAGTTACCTTAGTTTTCTAAAAAATATATATATTTAAATACATTATCAATATTTATCAAAATTCCGTTATCAATAAATTATCGTCTAATTTCGTCGTATGTATAAAAGTCTCGTCAAAAATGTTAATGAATGTAAAAATATACTATGCTTCCAACGCTAAAGTGACCTCGTGAGCAAAATCGAAATGACACCACAGTGCAACCGAAATAGAACGAAGAAACCTCGCGTCCAAAAAGTTATACTGAGTATGCTTAAAGGAGTCACGGTACTTTGAGCTATTTTGACCACGTACAAAATTGCCTTTAAATTGAAGGAAACGTGAAAATAGTAGCTTACTAAGGGTGCGTTTCTTTACGAAAATCCAAGATTGGATTCTTAAATCCGAAAACGAATTTTGCGTTTCTTTACTAAACAGATCAATCCAAGATCACTGAAGAATCCACTCTGGGAGTGGATTCTTCGGTTCCTTTGACGCACCATGATCCAAGAGATCTTGGATTAATCTGTTTAGAAATGAAACGCACAATCTGTTTTCGGATTTAAGAATCCAATCTTCGGTTTTCTTAAAGAAACGCACCCTAAGATAGAGAAACACTGAAAAGACAAAAATAAACCATAAAGGAACAAGGATGGTTTAGGATGGAGAAGATGAACACTGATTACAATCAACGAACTTGAAAAATCTAGGCTAACTTTTCGAGATGCGCTAACCGCGACGTAGCTCCTTTAAATCCAAGTCACTATATGTGAAAGTCTGACCGAAGGAGAGTTTCCACCCCTATCTGAGCTTTCTACTAAATTTATCCTCTTGAAACAAGTGGTAACTGGTCGTAACTTGACCTAAAGTGCACAACAAAGACGTCGCCTTTCACTTCTGGAGTAAGAGGGGCAGTATGTATTCCTAAAGTAGATTCCAATGACTAGCGTCATCACAGCGACATCTCTGACGTCTTGCTTGTAGCCTACGTAGCTGGTGGGATTTCGCGCTCGAGTGCTTTGTTTCAGCGGCGGAGCCTCTTACGAAATTGGCGAAGCCGCGGGGAAACTGGTGAATGGTCAAGTAGTTAGAGGTAACTCCTTCACGGTCTCGTCGCTGACGCTGAAACAAAGCTCTTGCACGCGAGATTCTACCAGCTCCGTAGGCTATTTTGGTTGCTTACTTTTCCGTCCAAAATGGAAATTAATTAGTAACAAGTATTAACTTGAAATGGCAACTAGCTATAAGTTACTTGAATGTTGGTTTTAAGTTAGAGCTGCGCATTTGTTTGTCTCTATACTGAGGATTATTAAGAGCGATCCTGATCTTCTTTATGTTGTCTGCTACTCGAAACTCGCGAGACCAGCACTCGAACACTTGGCAACTCATTTGACTCGCCTTTAGTGTCATCACCCAGCGGCAATCCCTGGTAAGTCCCGTGATCGACTTCGTCGTCGCTTGGGTGGCTGACTTGCCGCCGATGCTTTTTACGGCGTGACCGACTGCTTGCCGATCTTTTTGTAGGCATTCGCGCCTCGTTCGTGTTCAGATGTTCCGGAGAGTGATGCTGATCTTGAAGTGAGCGCATAGAAGGCAGCGATGGGACGGAGTTCTGCTGCAAAACTCGAATCAACAGAGCTTTCATTTCCGCCACTTCATTTCTCATGTCTTTAACAGTCTCCTCATGTCGGTTGGATACTACTGCGAGGTCAGAACGTAATCTGGAAGAAAGCAAGAATAGGATTGAACTGTCCATCAAATGAAGAATAAGATGATAGTCTATACAAATCTATACCAATAGAGCTAACTAGAAAATGTCTTGAAAGGATGAAAAAACAGGTAACCAGAAGGGTTAGCTACTCAGGCTCCACTTTGCAAGGAGCTAATCCTTAGAGGTTTCAAAGGCACAGTACAAAAGTGTGCTCTTCGCCAGTTACTGGATACAGCATTACTAATGGGCTAACTCGAAGGCGATTTTCAAGCGGTGGAAGTGAAGAAGGAGGAAAGAGTAAAGCAATTTCATTTTCTTATTGGCATCGCATATTTTACTTCAGTTATACCAAACTTTTTCACTATTTGATTTCGAATAACATACGTTAACCCATAAGGAGAAAAACTAGGCTGCCAACAAGTGTAATTTATAACTTGGATTTGCTGATGCGCTTTTTAAATTTACCTTTCAATTTCTCGCCCCAGGTTCCTGTCCGCCTTGCTCGTTCCATTACTCTTTGCTTGCAGCATTTCATAAACCTCATCAACAACGTCTTTGATCTGATGTGTCATGCGCTCTAGAGTACCTGAGCCTGGCTGCGTGGAGTCATCATCGTAGTACATTTCCTGTTAAATTAAAAATCCAAGACTAAGATTATTGTTATACTTCCTAAGGAATTTCTGGCTCCGGACTTTAATACCGGTTACCGAAAACGCGCGGGCTCTGGGGATGACTTTAAACTGATAAGGAATAAAGTGTAATGAGTGAAGGATGTCACGATTGCGTGAGACAAAGATTTTGTGATACTTTACCTCTGGGGCCAGTCTTTGATGAATAAATCTTCTGTGCATCTCACGACTCTTATCCCCCATGTTTTCTTCCATGTTGAGAATGGTGCTTGCACGCTGCATAGCCGCGTTGGCTTTGGCGTTATCATAGACACGCTGAAACGTGTCAGACATGAGAGCAATGAACAGATTTAACATCACAATAGCAGACACTGCTAGATAAGTTCCGCACAGGATTTGTGCCATCAGTCGATCCACTACGAGCAGGGAATCCCAGGGGTAGTTCCCCACGACTGTCAACTGCCACACGGAGTACATGAGGTCGTTAAAGTCCGCCCATCCTTTGCTGTCTTGCCCTGCTTTTTCCATGATCTCGGCGTTCTTTTTACCTCCGAATATGATCCAGAAAGCACACACGTATGGAACGTAAATTTCAAAATAAAGGAATCCAAACTTGAGGGTATCATCTATGATATGTCCGATCATGACAATGAATGGTCCTAAAGTCACAAAACCGCGGAAAACTTTCATCAGTCGAAGCCAGATGAAGATCAAGGCGATCGCGAACACTTTGGGGTGAAGTGAACGCGCCGAGTCATTTTTGAGGACAACTGCAAAAATCCTGGTCACAATGATACCCAGAATCCAGGCATACGTCACCCAGTCAAAATAATTCCATGAATCGTTGAAGTAAGAGATTCCGGAATCAATGATTTCGTTTCGTTCCATTTCGAGGTATTTTCTCTCCTCTGGCCAGCGCGGGTGACAGTAATGGAGATCTCTGTCAAGCTGGCTGATCCTCCATTTCTTCCACTTTTGATGGAACTTTTTCGACGCACCGATCTCCAGAAATTCCAGGCAAATAAAATACAAAGTCATCGTACACGCCAGAGTTTCTAAAACAATGCGCCACCAATAGACATCAGGTGGATTGTAATAATCAGAGTCTTCTCCAAGATGGAGCGTCACGCCCAGTGCAGTCCACAGCAGGACAAACAATGCGTGTATGAAGATCATCTTAACTGTTCCACGCCAGCCAAACTGATCCCACTTTACTTCAATCAGTCGTTTAAACACTGGATGCATAATAAGCTCCATTTGCTTATAATGCACCACGCAGTACAGCGGAGATCTGGCGCACGACACATACGCGCCTTCCTCGTTGGGTAGGACTGGTTCTAAATGGTTCAAGTAGAAATACTGTCGGCGGTTTCCACGGTCTGTACTGTGGAACTGATCTAAAGCTTCTTTAGCCACAGGAGGCATCTTGGATATCATAAAGGACATCACTGAGCTGCCAGTATTGTCCTGTACACCTGCAGGGGCGCCTTGATCTATTAAATATTTAGCTGTCTCGGACCGATCTGTAAACGAACGTAAAATAAAACATGCATGAGGACTGTATGAGCTAAGTATTTCAAAGCTTACTTCTCTGTATTTATTATTCCACGTTAGGAACTCTATGATTTTAATTTATCTTTGTTCTAAAGCGAAGAAGATGAAAACTGGTTTAAATGAACTTTGCAGAGAGTGACAATGTACAACGGGCAACGCTCCTCAATTTGGTGGATAAGTTTTTTGTCCCCTCCTTCTCTGGGATAGAAATAAAACATGGAGCTACAATCAAGACCTCAATTAAACACTGACATACTCGTGAGCAGCAGACTTCAAGTTAGAATAATTGTCTGCTTTTACAGTAGCTCAGCATGTTAAAAATGCAGTGTTTGGAGATGTCTGTTAATTGAGTTTGAATTGTATTTATACCCTGGTTTTGCCTTAAGTAACAATTTAGGACTACTGATGAAACAGTCAAATACTGACATATAGTTGTAAGTACTATGACAATAACAGCTGAGAAGTATCACAGACATGTTAAGAAATTTTCCAGTCTTAATCCAAGAAATGACCATACCTAGCTCAGCTGCAACTTGCAGAGGAGTACGCTTTTTGTAATCTCTATCCTCCATCCTGCCACCAAGCTTCAGTAGAACTTTGAGGGCTCTAGCTGCATCATTCTTCGCTGCATAGTGTGTGGGTGTCTGATTCTCGCCTGTTGTGCATGCATGAAGATCAGCTGTAAGAAAAAATAAAACACATAAATTAGTAAGTGACTTGCAAGGGAATTAAGGTGGGCAGGGAGGCTGTTCTCAAATACTTGCCATGAGGGAACTGACTAATGCAAGTAACTTTAATTCTTTATCTGTTTTTTGTAATAATTGTAACTACAATAAGCATTATACTGACTGGATTGTAGTCCAGATTCTCATAGGAGACCACCACATGATGGGCCATTACTGGAGGTTACAAAAACCAGGGGGCCACTATGCCTATTCACTCCAGTACCCTGATGGTTACTGAGGCCCCATTTACATGGTCTCCAGTACCATCAAGCATTCACATGTGAAAACGTAGTCCCTGTAGGCTGAGTCAAAGTTGACCCCGCATGATTATTCATAACTCTTATTGAATAATCAAATGTACAAATATCCCTCTCCCTCGGTCATTTGACCACAGTGGGTTTTGCTGAGTTAATTTTCACTTCTTTGATATGAATTTCTGCTTTTTAAAACCCTAAATCTAGGCATTACATGACACTCGCCACGTCAAGAATTGTCCTGGTTAGGTGAGCCACAGCATTTATACAAAGAAAAGTCGTCCCGCTTCCCAGGGTTACCCTACCTGCTGAGGTGAGACAACTTGTGGTTCATGATCCTCATGTAAACGGTTGGTTGCATTTTGCAGAGAAATAAGCTAAAAGTTACCTTGGCCGGGGTAACTCAGGGGGAGGGTTGTCTCAAGTACCTGAGACCATATAAATGTGGCCTGGCTGGGACTCTGGATTGAATGGTCCAGATTATTGCACTGACCTGGCTATTTATTTTTGTTACCCTCACGGGTTCCAATACACAATATCTCATGTGTGAATCTAGTAAAAGGGGAGGGGAGACATTTTTTTCCTGGATTTCTAACAAATAGAAACCAACTGTATTAGGAGTGTTGTTGTAGGTAATTCAAGTTTTGTGTGTATAGGGGTGAGATTGTGCTATTGCCAAAATGTTTTTTGGATCTGTCTACCATGAGAACTGTTCTGGAAATCTGACAAACGAATAGCATCCAATCAGGGGAGACGGGAGGGTAGTTATAATATTTCTCTCTTCCTCAAACTGGGGTAAACTCTAGCACTGTTTCTGTAGGACTCTTTCCTCTGAGTACAGAGGTCACAGCAGTCGCCGTATTGGAGACAACAGACATAGCCAAACTGACAAGTGTTGTGTTTGTATGTGCTGGGACAATGACTTAGTATCCCATGACGTAAGGTGTTCCATGGTAGAGGTCCACCTCTACAATGTACATGATCTGAATCATTGGGGTAATTTCCTTGATAAAATGCTATCGATTCAGACAATAAGTGTGCTCCAGTGATTAGCCGATAAACAGACAAGACGATCACAAGATTTATACTAACCTTTACTGCTGACAAGAAATTCCACCATCTCAGGATAATCAACTGCTGCAGCAACATGTAAAGGTGTCCGTCCGTATTCATCCCTTTTATTCACGTCCCCGCCGTTTTCCAAAATAAACCTGGCGACATCCACATGCCATATGCGAGCGACTTCATGCAGTACAGTCTGCCCATACCGATCAGTGAAGTTCACATCAGCGCCTTCCCCAAAAAGACCTTCTATAAAATCGAAATCAAGCTCCTGCTCGCGTTCCAGACTTGCTTTTGCCAGCTGGGCGAAGTAAATAATCAAAGTTCTACTGGCTGCGATCGCAGGATGGATTTGCTCTCCTTGTTTCACGGCTGGCATTGGTTTCATGTACGCATTAGTATCGTACATTGCCAGTCGTTCATTTCCTAAGTCCTCGACATCACTATCCAGTACACAAGTCATTTCTGTTTCCACGTGCGAGATTACTCTCGAGTACATCCCCGATCTGTTCAGCCCGGAAGAGGTTTCCTTCTGCGATCCCCTCATGGAACGCATGTAATCTCTCCATCTTGAAACAACCACCACTTCTTTAGAGACCTTTTGCCAGTTTTCCACTGATTCCGCTCTCTTCCTTGACTTCGTCACATGATTCATTCTGTTCATCTCCATAAAATCACGTCGATGTTCATAATCGCTACTACCGACCGACGTCGCGGGATGAACTCTCCCGTTTCTTGACATCACGAGCTCCTCGGTGCGATCAATCCTGTTAATACGATTTAAAATTCATACAAATTCAGCTATGACTGAAGTGTCATCTTTAGAACATTGATGCTATGAGAAAATTTTAAACTCTTCTTTGCTTGGTTTTAACTTGTAGTTTACTCAAGGCTAATCTTCCTCTTAGTAACACAACATTCGCGAGTGACGTTCTTTTCTGGTCGCCATTTCGTTGTTATGGCAGACCAAACAGTTTGTTGTTGAGCACGTGACTTTGCAATTTTAATGCAAATTAATTAGATTAAAATTGCAAATTTCTCTCGATTTTCCGCGTGCTTTCCTTCTGCCCAACATAACCATTTGCTGATCAATAATTTTCTTAAAGAACCAAAAAGAAATCAAAAGGAATATCGAATATTAAAAGAGATACTGTTTCTTGTAATGCCAGCCATGTCAAGTTGATTTTCGTTGTAGTACGAGTACAAAACTGGTGTACTTTTTACTCGCGGAAAAGTCTACACATGACAAACTGATCGCATAGAAATTACACATACCTCGCAAAATACCTTCCTCCTGTCTGAAATTCTACTTCAGGGAAAACCATTTTACTAGGAACTATAAAATTTCCCGAATGTAACGTCCAAAAGGTCGTCTGTGGCCAGCCAAGCTCCGAGTGAAATGAAGTGTTTGTTGGGGAACACAGATTTAAATTCCTTCAGTGTAATTAATCAACTGACGACAAACACTTAATAAGGAAACAGAACAAAGGAAAAACAATAGACTTTGTGTGTTCCTCGCAGGTTCAAGCGTGCCATTTTCAGCCCAACTTCGTCACGTGCTCAGCAACCATAACAGCTCTTTATTCTCTCCTTTGCAAGCTTGTAATCGCAGGTAAAACATCCAATTACGCCACGTGGATAGCATGTTATTAAGACTGCTCAGTAATTCTCAGTCTCTGGGGCGGTTTCTTTTCTAGCCCGTCTTGGCCGTTTCTGTAAATACGCAAAACTGTGATCTTATATTCCGTGTACCTCTGAATATTAAGGAGCGCAGTGTTACTGAAAACCAGTTTAATTCGCCGTTACTTTGAACAAACACATTTGAGAAGCTCTCGTGATGTATGTTAAAATTGAATTAATTCTGTTTCTTTTTCGAATATTCTCCAACCAGAATGATTAAGCGTCAGAGTTTAATTGTCTTCTAGATGATTTGTACTCAAAAAAAAAATATATATATATATATATTTGTCGGCTTAGGACAGAAGCATATCACCTAGTAGGTGATATGCTTCTGCTTAGGATTATAGAGCGTGCCTGTTGAGTAGTTTGGTTTTGAAAATGGTACACAAAAGATAGCATAAAAACAGTGAAAGTTTTGACTACAAATATTCTGGTCAGGCAAGAGTTCCAAATTAGATCGCATCTGTATAAAATTCTCTTGGCTTTAGTAATTACTCAGCTACGTTGTAACCCGGACTGAACTAGTTACTGATCATGACGACACCAGAATTTTCCACAATCGATTAGCCTTTTATTTCGGTCTAACCACAGAACAGGTAATTTTTTGCGTATTTTTTCGCCTAAAATACGCAAAAAAATTACGCCTGTTCTGTAGGCTAATTTCAGTCAGGAGAATTTTAGTCTTTGTCTTGATTTGAGGGCTGTACTTAGCTGCCTACATCGTTAAAAAGTTTGCTTCGTAAAACAGAGTGAAACATAACCGGACAGCTCACATGATTTGGCATGGGTTCTAAAATGTCATGGATTGCTGAAATTTGCATTATTACAGGTAATTTGCCTTCCGAGGCTTGATCAGTTTGACTGGCATGCAAAAAAAAAAGCGAAAAAGGGGAAAAAAAAAATTAAGACCCGAGGATTCGACAGCAAATCTTCAATCCGTTTATGCATTCCGCCAGCCTTTTATCTCTAAATTTGGAGGACTGAATTTTTTCGCCAATCTAAAAGTACTCTTTGAAGGACTTCTGGAAAATCCAGATCACGACGGTAAATGCTCCAAGATTGAGCTGAACGGGTGACACACTGCACATGTAACAGGTTCTTTACCTGTTGCCACGTGTAAAGGATGATAAGTTAATAATACGCATGTGTGCTGTCTGTACACATAAAAGAAAACTGACACTAAATATAGCGAAAACTGAACAGGTACTTGGGCTGAGTTTTCATCCTCTCATCTCATATAGCTGAAGGAGCTAAAGGAAAATGCTTTTCCCTTTCCTCCTCTTGGGCCTTATTATTAGTTTTCACAAAACGAGGGAACATTGACGCGGAAACATTTTTGTCAGCTAGCCTCCAAATGTTCTTGAGTGAGTACAAAGAGGACGGGGCGGGGGGGGGGGGGGGGGGGGGGTAAAAAT